CCCCCTTTCCGCGCGCGAGCCCCGCGAGATCCCCGTACCTCTGCGCTTCTCTCCTGCAGCTTCTGCGGGTCTCAGTGTGCCTTTCCTTCCTTCTAGTTGTAGAGTTTACAGTCAGCCAGGCTTCCTATGGTTCTGGATGAAGTCCGTATTGTTTCTCTGAGGTATTAATCAATTGTTGTGAGCGGCATTAATTTCCCGGTGTTTATCTCTGCCGCCATCTTAGTTTCTCGAAAATCCATTCATTCTTAAATCGCATGTGTGTGCACGTACCCACACAAACAAAACACTACTGAACTAGTGTCAGGACTCTCATCAGGAGGTACAACTCTTTACTATCTATTCGACTGCTAAACAATGCCAATCCTTGAGGAAACATATTTTGGAATTAGCTCAGCTTACTTTCAGAAAACTGACAATTATGTGATGTCCCCTGAAAAGCTCCTCATGGAATGAGCAATCACTAAGTCTTCGGTGTGGCATTCATTGGTCTCTACTGCCCAGCCCAGCCTGTCCATTGTGCCAACTGTACTGGGCTACTTGTCAATATGCAGAAGAGCTCTGTGCTCCCAGGTTCCTTTGCCTTGACTGGAAAGCAGTGACTATGAGCATGGACTCAGAAGTTAACGCCAGAATTCAATCCTCTCTCCACCACTTACGCACAGTGGTATGTTAGCCAAGCAGACTAGCCACCTCTGTTTCCTCCTCTGTAATATTGGGATAATCAATATTACTTCATGTATAGGCAGTTGTATTGACTCAATACATGAAAAGCACTTAGAACAACCTAGCACAAAGTGAACATGATATGTTAGCCATTATGGCTATTCTCCATCCTCATCAGTCACAATTTTCAAGGTTCTTCCCTTCCTTTCAGGGCCCAATTCAATGCTACCTTCTCCATGTAGAGGCACTGAGTCAAAATTCAGTGTCATTTCTCAGTGCTCATACACTAACTGAGGCTGCAGCAATCTATGATCAAAGGCCAAATCCAGTGTGCTGTCTGATTCTATTTATTTATTTGTTTGTTTATTTATATATTTATTTACTATTTTTATTTATTTCAGAAAGGAAGGGAGAGGGAGAGAGAGATAGACACTTCAGTGATGAGAGAGAATCATTGATCGGCTGCCTCCTTCATGCCCCTTACTGGGGATCGAGTCACAACCCAGGCATGTGCCCTTGACCAGAATCAAACCTGAGACCCTTCAGTCCACAGGCCAGTGCTCTATCCTCTGAGCCAACAGGTAGGACCTGTCTGATCTTATATGGCCCATAGCTAAGAATAATTTACATTTTTAAGTAGTCACAAATAACATTCCGCAATACATGACAATTATATAAAGTTCAGATTATGTTTTTCATTTTTCATAAGCACTTCCTCACTTATATAAGTAGAGACTCCAGCTGCTTTTCACTACAGTGGCAGAGTTAAGTGGTAGTGACAGAAACCGTATGGCTATCAAAGCTAAAAATACTATCTGGCCCTTTGCAGAAAAAGCTTGCTGATCTCAGCACTGAATTATGAGCTTCTGGAGAGCAAGAACTGTTATCTTTATTGTTGGGTTATTCCCACAGCCCAGTAAAGTACTTCTCCTTGGGAAGGACTTAATAATTATTGCTAAGTCCTTGATGGTTCAGAATTAGAGCGTGGTGAATGGAACACGGTGTCTGACCTTGTTCTCCTTTCTGGCCGTGCATGCCATCCTTCCCTGGACCGCCAGGATGTCCTGGTTCTCCTAAGTGGAAAAGAGAGAAAAAAAGACAAGAGTTGAATTTCCAGTTTTCCTAGATATTGGTCTCAATCAGTGATGTAGACTGGAGAGAGGCAGATGTGAGGGAGCAGTAGGGTGCTGAGTTGTGTGAAAGAAGTGAATTATTAAAAAATGATTTGGACTTCTCAAGTACTCAGCTCCCAAAGGCAGGACAAGAAGGGAGCACGTGCACAGATAATCACAATTGAGTTTTCTCATGTGTCGAGCACTCAGGACGTGATCAAATAACTGAGGCACCCTGGCTGGTGTGGCTCAGGTGGTTGGAGCTTTGTCTCTTACATCAAACATGGCAGGTTCAATTCCCGGTCATGAGGCAACCAAGAGATATTTCTCTCTCACATCAATATTACTTGCTCCCTCTCCCTTCCTTTCTCTAAAAATTAATTTTAAAAAATGCCAAAGGTATTGGGTGACTTTGTCACTTCTCCTTTTCTTTATTTCCTTTTGTGTTTTGAATTGAACATTTTATTTTTCATTTTTGGTTTACATTTAAAATTATTTTGTATTAGCTTTAGGTGAACAGCATAGTGGTTAATCATATAGTTTACAAAGTGTTCTTCCAATATTTCCAGTACCCACTGGGCACCATACATGGTTATTACAATATTATTGACTATACTAGTGGCCTGGTGCTCAAAATTCATGCACATTAAAAGAGAATTAATTAGAGGAAATATTTTAATATTGTTATTTGCCCTATCTCTATAATAGAAGTGTCAGAGATGAAAGAAATTTGGTAAAATGTATATGAAAATCTTTCTCCTGTCAGGGTCTGGGATGCGCCGCGGGACTCAGGGTCAAGTCCCCACCCAACCACGTGCACCTTGAAATCATGTGAGACCCAGACCCAGCCAGCCCCACCCTTGTCAAACCCTGCCGGGCAGGGGGCGCTGCCTCAGGTACCCTGGCCTGGCGCTGGGCAGGGGGCACAGCCTCAGGTCCCCCGTCAAGCCCCGCTGAACTGGGGACACAGCCTGAGGTCCTCCCAGCCAGGCACCAGGGAAGTGGGTGTGACCTGAGGTCCCCCATCAAGCTCCATCAGGCGGCAGGGTGTGGCCTGAGGTCTCCCTTCAAGCCCTGCTGGGCGGGGGGTGCAACCTGAGGTCCCCTGCCGCGGCCCAGCACCATGCAGCCTGAGGTCCCTGCTGATCGTTCCTTACGGCTCATTATGGGAACCCCGTCTCCGTTGTGGACACAGCCATCTCGTATTACAGGAACCCTGCCTCTGCTGTGGGCCATCTTGTGATGGCATGATGGAGTGAGGATCAATTTGCATATTACGTCTTTATTATATAGGATTCCCTATGCTCTACTTTACATCCCAATGAGTATTTTGTAATTACCACTTTATAATGCTTCTTCTTTTTGGGGGTTAATCCTCACCAGAGGATATTTTTTTCCATTGCTTTTTAGAGAGAGTGAAAGGGTGAGAAAGAAAGAGTGAGGGGGAGAGAGAAACATCGATATGAGAGAGACACATTGATTGGTTAGTCTCCCACACATGCCCTGACTGGGACCAAGGATGAACCTGAAACCCGGATATGTGCCCTTGACCAGGAATTGAACTGGAGATTCAGGTGCATAGGCCACTGCTCTAACCATTTAGCTACACCACCCATGACCAAATTTGTACTTCTTAATTCCTTCACAATATTTTACCTAGTCCTCGAACCCCATCCCCCTCTGGCAACCATTAGTCTGTTCTGCGTCAATGAGTCTGTTTCAATTTTGTTTGTTCATTTATTTTTGTTCTTTAGATTCCACACATAAGTGAAATCATATGGTATTTGTCCTTCTCTGAGTGACTTATTTTACTTAGCATCATACCCTCTAGATTCATCTGTCCCAAATGGTAATATTTTATTCTTTTGTATGACCCAGGAACATTCCATTTTATGTATGTACCACAACTTTTTTTTACCTACCAGTCTATTGATTGATACTTGGGTTACTTTCATAACTTGGTTATTGTAAACAATGCTTCAGTAAACATAGGAGTGCATATATTCTTTTGAATTAGTGTTGTGGATATATATATCCACACTGGGTCATAGGCAGCTTCATTTTTAATTTTTGAGGACCCTCCATACTATTTTCCATAGTGGCTGTACCAATCTGCATTCCCACCAACACTGCCCAAGGGTTCCCTTTTGTCCAAATCCTCACCATCACTTATTATTTGTGGATTTATTGATGACAGCCATTTTGATAGGTATGAAGGGAAATCTTACTGTGGTTTTAAGTTGCATTTCTCTGCTGATTAGTGACATTAAGCATCTTTTCATATGTCTGTTGGCCATCTGTATGCCCTTTTTGGAGAAGTGTCCAGCCCACTGCCCATATTTTTAACTAGATTGTTTGACTCTGGTGTTGAATTATATGAGTTCTTTATACATTTTGGATATTAACCCCTTATCAGATGTATCATTGGTGAGTATCTGGCTGGGCCCATTTGTTTTTTATTTGTTTCCTTTGCCTAAGGAAAACATATCAGAAAAAAGTATTACTAGGAGAAATGTCAGAGATTTTACTGCCTATGATTTCTTCTAGGAGTTTTATGGTTTTGAGTCTTACATATAAGTCTTTAATCCATTTAGAATTTATTCTTGTATATGGTGTAGGTAGAAGGTAGTCTAGTTTCATTTTTTTTTTTTGCATGTATCTGTTCAATTTTCCCAACACAATTTACTGAATAGTCTTTTCCCCATTGTATGTTCTTGCCTCCTTTGTCAAATATTAATTGACCATATGGTGTGGGTTTATATCTGGGCTCTCTATTCTATTCCATTGAACTATTTGTCTGTATTTATGCTGGTATTATGCTGTTTTTATCACTGCGGCCTTATCGTATTGTTTGCTATCAGGTAGCATGATACCTTCACTTTGTTCTGTTTCAAGATTACTGTGGCTATTCAGAGCCTTTTGTGATTCCATATAAATTTTTGCATTATTTGTTTTATTTTTGTGAATTATGTCATTTGCACCTTGATAGAAATTGCATTGAATATGTAGATTGCTTTGGGTAATATGGACATTTTAATGATGTTAATTCTTCTTATCTATTTACATGGCATATGCTTCCATTTATTTGTATGTTCTTCAGTTTTTTTCTTCATTATATTATAATTTTCTGAGTTGCAGGTCTTTTATCTCCTTGATTAAATTTATTCCTAGGTATTTTTGATGCAATTATAAGTGGGATTGTTTTCTTTCTTCCTCTTTTTGAGGGTTCATTATTGGTACATAAAAATGCAATTGATTTCTGAATGTTTATTTTGTATCTTGGTACTTTACTGAATTTATCATTTCCAATAGGTTTTTTTGGTAGAATCTCTAGGGTTCTCTATATACAGTATGATGTCATATGCAAATAATGACAGTTTTACTTCTTCATTTCCAATTTGGATGCCTTTTATTTCTTCTTCTTGTCTGATTGCTATGGCTAAGACTTTCTGGTACTATGCTGAACAAGAGGGGTGAAAATGGATATCCCTTTCTGATTCCTAATCTTAAGAAAAACACTTTGAGTTTTTCCCATTTTATTTATGTGGTATAACAAATTAATTGATTTGCAGATATTGTACCCACCTTGAATTCCAGTAATAAATCCCATTTGATCATGGTGTATGATCTTGTTAATGTATTGCTGGATCCAGTTTGCTAATATTTTTTGGAAGATTTTAGCATCTATGTTCATTAGGGATATTGGACTACAATTTTCTTTCTTTGTATTGTCTTTATCTAGTTTTAGAATTAGGATAATGCTGGCTTCATAAATAAGCATGGAAGTTTTCTCTCCTCTTGAATTTTTTAGAATAATTTGGGAAGGGTGGGTGTTAATTCTTGTTTGAATGTAGGTAAAATTCACTTGTGAAGCCATCCAGTCCAGGACTTTTGTTTGCTGGAAGTTTTTTTTTTATTACTACTTCAATTTAATTAGGTTTTCTGGTTTTTCCATTTCAATTCAGGTTTTCTGGTTCTTCCTGATTGATTGAGTTTTGGAAGATTGTATCTTTCCAGGAATTTATCCATTTCACCCAGGTTGTCCAATTTGTTGGCATATAATGGTTCATAATATTTTCTTATATTCCTTTAGTATTTTTGTGGCGTCACTGGTGATTTATCCTCTTTTATTTATTACTAGAGGCCTCGTGCACGAATTCGTGCACCAGTGAGGTCCCTTGGCTTGGCCTGTGGAATCAGGCCAAAACAAGCTCTCTGACATCCCCCGAGGGGTCCTGGATTGCAAGAGGGCACAGGTCAGGCTGAGGGACCCCACTGGTGCACGATCAGGGCCGGGGAGGGACACAGGAAGTTGGCCAGCCAGGGAGGAACCACGGGAGGGCTTCAGGGCATGTCCGGCCCATCTTGCTCAGTCCCGATCAGCCAAACCTCAGCAGCAAGCTAACCTATCAGTTGGAGCGTATGCTCCCTGATGGTCAGTGCATGTCATAGCGAGTAGTTGAACGGCCTTAGCATATCATTGGCATATTACACTTTGATTGGTTGAACAGATGACTGGACACTTAGCATATCAGGCTTTTATTATATAGGATTTTATTTATTTGGGTCCTCTTTCTTTCTTGAGTAGTCTTATTAAAGTTTTATTCATCTTGTTAATTTTTCCAATAAACCAACTCTTTGTTTCATTGATCTTCTGTATATATTTAGACTATTTCTGCTCTGATCTTTATTATTTCCTTCCTTCTATTCACTATGGGCTTGGTTTGTGTTCTTTTTCTAATTCTTACACCTAGTTCACTTAGGTGTAAAGTTAAATTGTTTATTTGAGATTTTCTTGTTTCTTGAAGTAGGCCTGTAATGCTATGAATTTCTCTCTTAGGAATGCTTTTGCTATATATTTTGTGTTTTCATTTTCATTTATCTCAAAAAATCTTTTGATTTCTTCCTTGATCTTATTGTTGACCCATCAATTGTTTAGCAACATGTTATTTAGCCTCCAT